TCTAAAAAACGTGGTATATTGATCAACACTGTGATGATTGTGTAGTAATTTTACCAAAAGAAAAATAGAACATGGCTAAACATCTGAATGAAAACCATTTCATAGTAATGAACTTAATCAGGAGACAAAGACAGTCTTGGTAGCAAGAAATTTATTACACTTTGTTTTGGTGTTATTGTTTGTTTGTTTTACTTTATTTGCTTATAGTAGAAAGAAGAGAGTACAAGATCATTTTAGGATATAACTTGGTGTGATCAGATATGTAGGTCATGGAAGTGCATGCTGGAGTCAGGACTTCTCATTAGTTGCTGGTAAATGCTCAAAGATAAAATTGATTAAGGTATGTTATAAGTTTTTGAAGAATTTGTTTTATAATTTACTACAAGTCATTCTTCCTGACTCTGCTTAATCCCAGTCTTCAGAGAATGTCAGAGATTGGTTAGCTGTTGATATATGTTTATAATGTTCTTTCATAATGTTTATATGTTTATAATGATTGATGTTGCTGAAGGTAAAATGCAAGATACTGACTCAGGAACTTCTGCTGTAGAAGATAACTCTAAGCATTTTCAAAATTAAAACACTTTCAATAATGAGTTTGCGTAGTAGGAATACATGATCTTGTAATGCATTCTTATTCAGTCAAAATTGGAAGTGCCTGAAATTGTAGTACTTGGCCCATAAATTAAGAACATTCAACATTAATCCATATATGATTTGAAAAAATTACTGGTCTCTTTTCTTTAGGTATCTGTTCTCCAAAGCAGCTGGAGATCACCAACTCCCTCTCTGTGTGACATCACTAGAAAACACTAGACTGGTGATGTCACACATACCACAGAACCCCGCAGCAGAATGGAGCAGGCCTATTAAGGGTAAGTTTTCTCCCTCCACCACCACCCCTTTTCAACAATATTGCATGGTTTTATAAGATTACTAATTTTCTTTACTTTATGTCCCTGGGATATAATGTAAAGATTACAGACAATCTTATAAAACTGCATAATATTGTGGTGTTGTGTGTGTGTGTTTATTTAAAAGCTAAACAAAAACTCATATAAAAAGTTCAGTCCTTACCCCGTGTATCAATATCCTGGCTCCAGTCTGCTTTGGGGTTCCATTATAAGTATGCCAGAGTAGTGTATGTTGGGGCATCGATCACAGAGAGTGGAGTCAGCATTTCCTGGCTGCTCTGGATGTCAGAAACCTTATTTTAAAAGGTAAGTTTTCAGTTGAATGCATTGAATGTCTCTCTGCATTTAAACAGAAACATTCAGCCCATTTGTAAAATGTATTTTTATTGTGTTTGCATTTTTGAAATTTACTTATAACTTGACATAGCCTAAAGTCACATTTTATACTTCTCTGTCTAGTCCTTTTTCTCCTCTGTTATTTTCCTGTGATAATACCTTATATTCTGTTTCCAGCAAAAAAAAATTGTGTCTTGTTGTGACAATTGTGTCACTAATTGGAACAAGATGGTAACTAAATTCTGTTTAATATAATTCTCTGTGATCTGGACAAAGAGATCAAGGGCACCCTCAGTCAGCTCACAAACAGCACCAAACTGGGTGGGAGTTTTGATCTCCTGGAGGGCAGGAAGGCTCTGCAGAGGGATCTGGACAGGCTGGATCATGGGCCAAGGCCAGTGGTGTGAGGTCCAACAAGGCCAGTGCTGGCTCCTGCCCTTGGGTCACAGCAACCCCAGGCAGTGCCACAGGCTGGGGCAGAGTGGCTGCAAAGCTGCCCACAGGAAAAGGACCTGGGGGTGCTGCTGACAGCAGCTGAACATGAGCCAGCAGTGCCCAGCTGGCCAAGAAGGCCAATGGCACACCTCAAATTCTGTGTTCAGTTCTGGGCCTCTCACTACAAGAAGGACATTTTGGTGCTGAACTGAGACCACAGAAGGCAGTGGAGCTGGTGAAATGTCTGAAACATAAATCTTGTAAGAAGCAGCTGAGGGACCTGGGGGTGTTGAGCCTGAAGAAATGGAGGCTCAGGAGGAACCGCAGCTGCCTGAAAGGAGTGTGTAGCCAGGTGGGGGTTGGCATCTTTTCCCAGGGAAGAAATGCTGTATGTTTCTGATGAACATGCCTTTGGAGGTCCAGCCTGAACCTCCTAATCATCAGTTTGTAGCTAAACTCTCATAATATATCATTTGGTATTTTTGAGAATTTAGAACACACATATTTGTGAAAACAAGTGTATTATCTATAGAAATTAGTGGGCAGCTATGTAATAGGGAGTTAAGTCATAGCTTTATCAGTTATTGATTTGCCTTTCCCCCTCTGAATAAAAGACAAACAAGGACTGTGTTTGAGAATCAAATTGCATATGAAAAGAAATGTTAAATTTTGTTGTGATGGATTTTAAGATTATATAAATGTTTTTAATGTCTCTTTTTACTGTTTAATATTTAAGGTATAATAACATCTAGCATTTATGTGTTTGCACAGAAAATCAACTAAACCACAATAATTTAAAAGAGAAGGGTTGTTTTTTTTTTTGTTTTTTTTTTTTTTTTTTTCCAGCCTTTTTTTGGCCTATACTCTGCTGTTGTGACTACTTCTGAGGAAAAAAAAAATCTTCTCATGGCTAAAATTTTTTCATGCTTGCATTAACAGGTTTATTGTCAATTCTAAAACCCTACTGAGAAAAATAAGTAATTGGGACAAAGGGAAATAATTAATCTATGTTTTTATAAATTATGTTGCTATAAAATTTTCATTGAAATTACTTGGAAACATTGTTCCTCTTTGCCTGTTTCTCCACCCTGTTGAGGTCATTCTGAAGGATAGCACAGCTCTCTGGGGTATTGGCCACTGCTTACAGCTTTGTGTCATTGGTGAGCTCACTGAGGAGGCATCTGCCCCTTCATCCAAGTCACTGATGAACAAGTTAAACCATACTGGACCAGTACTGAATCCTTGGGGACACCACTAGAGACAGGTCTCCAACTAGAGCTGCCAATCCTGTAGAATTAGGGGGCAAGAATTGGCTAGCTTTTTATGTTTGTTTTTGTAAGCAGAGAGAAAAGTAATATATTTGTTTTTCTGTGAAGTATTAATGAAGTCAGTAAAGTCTCAAAGTCTGTTCTTGACTAAACATTATGCATGTGTTGGCTGCCTAGCGGTTACTGCTTCAAATTTATTTAGTGATCAGCTGATACTTATCTTTCTCATAAATACTCTTTTTTTTCCTACTTAAGGCAAGATCTTAGCCTTATTTAAAGACAAATTAGGCTCAGAAATTAATAATTTCTTGGAGTTTTTACTTTCAGTGTTTTTTCATATCTTTTTAATATTACATTTTCTCACATTTTCTTTGCTATATCAACTACATGTACAGCATTTCTATTTCACTATAGTAGTAGCATTGTTTATTTTTGCTATTTGGTTTTTGTTTTGAGACAATGCACTAATGCTCTGTAGTATATAAATACATTATTTTAAAACAGTCTGCAAAATGTTTTGTTTACCTTACAAGAAAAATAAATCTGTGCATGCAATATTCTTTTGTATGTTAACAATTAATTCTGTTGAGTGCTGACTTTAAGAGATGATACCAAATGCCCTGGTAGACTACAGTATGCACAAGGTCTGGTTTTTGTTGTAGTGATTAGTGACAGGTTTTGTGCATGTGACTGGCCACAAGTGAAGGAAATTATAATTCAGTTTACTGGCTTGTCTGTGTGTTCAACCTGGTCATTATGTGGTAATGTGGCATAATGATCCTACAAAATCTTTGCTTTTTTAATTTTAATTGAAGAATGAAGGTAACTGTTTGTTTTGTTATGTAACATGTACATGATTATCCATAAAAAAATAGATACCTGGTCTTCAAACAAGCATTCAAGATGAGTGATCTTGCTGTTCATTGGAGAGATCTCCTGAAATGTGTAGAAAGAAATTGTGCAAAGTCCTTAGGAAGATCATTCTTGTAGACTGCTGAAAGGCAGCTGTGACAAGCTTTATCCTGATTTTCCTGTCTTACCTTTCTTGGTGTGCTAGACCACAGGAAGCTGTGAAGGATATGTTCACTATCAAAAGCTAAATATGTATGTGAAATAAGTAAGTTCTCAAATCTTGCTTTTTTTTCTTGCAGAACTATAATTGCTTTATTGTTTTACATCTTCTCTGACCAGTCAAGAGCTAAAATCTTCTTTTATATAAAATGCACAGAGTTGGTAGAGTGGCAGAAGGACTATACCACATCTCTTTTATAACAGTTACATATATATGCATTGTTCAGTCTTTTATGCAATGAACTACAGAATAAAGTTTGGGGAAGAAATATGTACAAAGGGTACGGATGGGTGTTAAGGGGTGTTTTCTGCAGCACCATGGCCAGCATGGTTGTCATTTCCCAATGTCTTCTCTCCTTATTCAGACTTTCTAGATTTATGAAAACATGAATATAAGATTGCATATATCAGTTTTGAAAATAAAACTTTTAATTATATGTTTGAATTAAAAGCTTAAAGAATTTTATGTTGGAAAATTGGGCTTTGCTGCGTAGTCTGTTGCTTCATAAAGCAAATTTGCTAAACTTCTCTTTTAAAAAAAGCTTTTTTCCAGAACTTTAAATAAAATGTAACAGAAAAACGTTGGGATTTTTATCCTTGAAAGTTTTGATGGTTGATTTCCCTGAACTGAGTGGATTACTACCCATGTTAGTTACTCATTTAAGTAATTTTAAGTGCATGGTGTATTTGTAGAATCCTGTTTCAATTTTAATTTTGACCTGTAAAAAGTGAGCGTCCTTGCAGTATTACTTTTCCAACTAGGACATTATCCCTCTGTAGTATTAAAATAAAAGTAACAATGTCCTAGGTAGGTGTAACTCTGGAAGGGTAGATGTAACTCTGGAAGTTTCTAATTTTTCTTCCAGCTGTTTTCCTCATATGCTATATCTGTGTACCAGGATTATTGTAGTACTAGTGCAAACTAACAAGATTTAGGTCTAATGCAATGATAAATAAATGGAATTTATGTTTTCAGGGAAGATGGTTCCACCGGAAGCAAGCAGTAAAGGAATTGCATGGTACATTGTTACGACTGCTTAATGAACTGTTACCATGGGAACCAAAGCTAATTAAAGCATTTCAAAGAAACAGGTAATTACCTGCTCTTTTTTTTTCAACAGTGGTGCATGGGATGAAAAACAGAACCAAATTTACATTTTAAATACTGATCAATAAGTTAGCTTCTTAAATAAATAAAATTAAAATACTTTGAGGAGAGGAGTGAGGCCCTGGCAATACTTTAGTTGGAAGAAGTATCTTACATTCCAGAGTTACTTCTCAAAAAAAATTTGAGCTTAACCTGGTAGTGTTTTTTTCCTCTAAAACACTCTAGAATCCTTAAGCATGCTGATCAATAGTATATTGCAAGACAGCTAGGATTTGTGTTTCTGCTTATTTGGTTAAGAAATGCTAAAAACCTTTCTCTAGAGAACTATATTGGGCTTCTTAGAATACTCTGACTATTTACTATGTAAAGCTACCTAAATTAACTCTTAATGAATTCTCCACAGAGCAATTCTTGAAGCATTGTTTTGAGGTCATTGTAACGCAGTAAATTAGAAGTGCATCTGGAAAGAAGTATGTCAGAGGAATATGAGTGAAGTAGTGACAGGTTTAAATCTAGTAAAGTGAAAGTATTAGTAACGTTGAAGGTACTACTCTGATTATAAATCATGGAGAGATTAGATACTGTCTTGAAGCTCGGTGCCATTCTTACCTCTTAACCATACAGCTGTTGCTATAATTGCAGCTTAGTTTTGCCATGTAGACAATTAAAAAGCAAGGAATGATTAAAGGCTTGAACTCTGTGACAAAGGATAGGAAAAGAGGCTTCTTAAATGTTGAGTGTGAAGGAAGCAAGTTACACTGTTTTGTGGTGCAGAGTTTATACTGGAAAGTGTAAAAGGTGTTATGTTTAAAAAAACACAAAAACATAACACCAAAGATATTACATTGGTTCCTCAGTAGCTCATTTTGTGAATATCATCCATGAATTAAAATTCTTGTTTGGAAATTTGGGATATTGTTGAATATTTTGCTTTCAATAATGGACCCAAATACAAGTTATGGGTTTTTCCTATTCCTTTCTCTTCTATTTCCTGTTCATTTTCTCTAACTGTTAATTTCTTCCTGTCTTCCGCAATTTAGAATCCTTCTGGAGACATGGCAGATAGTATTACTGTCAGCAAGAATTTAGTTTTCCAGTATGTGAAGTTTACAATTATACCCTTTTTGTAAGTTCTGTTGTGGAATGGTTTGGTGCTCAGTATTCTTGTCTGTCAAATTACAGAATCATAGAATGGTTTGGATTAGACGGGACCTTAAAGATCACCCAGTTCCAACCCCCTGGGCAGGGGCACCTTTTGTAAATGAAGTTCCACAAAACCCCAACTAATCTGGCCTTCCAGGAATAAGGCTTCAACAACTTCTCTGGACAACCTGTTCCAGTGCCTCATCATTCAGAATTTCTTCCCAATTTCTAATCCAAACCTACTCTCTTTCAATTTGAAGCCATTGCCCCTTTTCTCACTACAAGTTCTTGAACAAGTCTCTCTCCCTTCCTTTTTTGAAGGCTCCCTTCACGTACTAGAAGGCTGCAATTAGGTTTCCCCGAAGCTGCCTCTTTTCCAGGCTGACCAATCTCTCTCAGTCTTTCTGCACAGGCAAGGTGCTCTGTCCCTCTGATCATCTTGGTGGCCTCCTCTGGACTCACTCCAGCAGTTCCATGTCCTTCCTGTGCTGGGACCCCAGAGCTGATGCAGCCCTGCAGGTGGGGTCTGAGCAGAGCAGAGGGGCAGAATCCCCTCCCTGGCCCTGCTGCCCACGCTGCTTTGGCTGCAGCCCAGGACACGTTTGGCTTTCTGGGATGCCAGTGCACCTTTCTGGGTCATGTCCAGCCTCTCATCGCCCAGGACACCCAAATCCTTCTCAGCAGGGCTGCTCTGATCTGTTCATCCCAGCCTGTGCTTGTACCAGGGGTTGCCGCAATCCAGATGCGGTGCCTTGCACTTGGTTTTGTGTCATAGTTTGATCCCAGCCAGCAGCCAAACCCCCACAGCCTCTCACTTACTCTCCCACCAGTGGGGTTGGGGAGAGAATTGTAAGGGTAAAAGCTGAAGAGCTCAGGGGTTGAGATAAAAACAGTTTAAAAGGGAGAGCAGAAGCCGCACACACAAGGAAAGTAAAACATGGGATTAATTCAGTGCTTCCCATGGGCAGGCAGGTGTTCAGACAGCTTCAGGAGAGCAGGGCCCCATCGCACATAATAGTGACTTGGGAAGAAAAACACCATTGCTCCAAATGCCCTTCCCCCCAGCCCTCTTCACCTTCTTTGATACACTGAGCGTGATGAGCATGATGCCACATGGTCTGGAATATCCCTTTGGTCAGTTTGGGTCAGCTCTCCTGGCTGTGTCTCCTCCTGAGCTCCTGAGCACCCCCAGTTCTCTCCCCAGTGTGGCAGTACCAAAAGCGGAAACGTCCTTGGCTCTGTGCAAGCCCTGACAAGCAATAACAAAAACATCTGTATTATCAACCCTGAGTTCAGCACAAACCCAAAACACAGCCCCATACTAGCCAGATGTGGAGATTCACTGTACTACAGCCAAAACCTGTACCCTTTGTTAAACCTTATAAGATTCTTAAGGATCCACTTCTCAAGCTTTTCCAGAGCCTTCTGGAAAACATCCCATGTTTCAGGTGCGCCAACCATATCACTGATCTTGGTGTCATCTGCAAATTTGCTGAGGGTGCATTCAATCCGTTTGTCTATGTCATAATGAAAATATTAAATAACACTGGTCCCCATATGGACTTCTGAGGCACACCACTTGTCACTGATGTGCATTGACCACAACCCTCTGGATGCCACCATCCAGCCAATTTCTCATCCAGCTAACAATCCACCCAACAAATCCATCCCCTTCCATTCTAGAAAGAGGATATTGTAGGGGCTTGTGTCAAAGGCTTTACAAATGTCCAGATATATGACATCTGTCTCCCTTCCCTTGCCCACTGATGCAGTCACCCCACCACAGAAGGTCACTGGGTTGGTCTAGCAGTACTGTCCTTGGTGTAGCTGTGCTGGCTGTCCCAAATCAACTCCCCGTCCTATGTGTGCCTTAACATAGTTTCTGGGAGGGTCTATTCCATGATCTTCCCAGACACAGAGGTGAGGCTCACAGGCTGGTACTTCCCAGAGTCCTCCTTTCTACTCTTTTTTGAAGATGGGTACAATGTTTTCCTCTTTCATATTACCCAGGATTTCACCTGACTTCCGAGACATTTTCAAATATCGTGGAGAACAGCTTGGCAAATACATCAGCCATTCCTTCAGGACTCTGCTTAGCATCTCATTGGGCTGCACAGACCTCTGTACACTCATGTTCCTTAGGCAGACATGAATCTAATCTTTACTTACAGTGAGAAGGACTTTGTTCCCCCAGTCCCTCTCCTACTGTCTATCCTCTCAGAAGATGTGGGAAGAAGTGTTGCCCTTGAAGACTGAAGCAACACGATGTTGAGTACCTCAGCCTTCTCCTTATTCACTGTTACCAATTTCCACCCTTATTTATCAGAGGGAGTCACCTTCTTTGGCCTTCCTTTTGTGGTTAATGTGCCTGTAGAAGCCCTTCCTGTGTTCTTTGCCAAGATCAATTCCAGTTTTGCTTTGGACTTTCTCACCCTGACCCTGCACAACCAAACTTGATCTCTTCAAGGTCTCTTCAAGCTCTTTCTGGGCCACCAATCCTAGCTTCAATGGCCTGTCCATTTGCTTTTTTCCCTTCAGTCTGATTAGCAATTCCCTACTCAGCCCTGCTGTTCCCTTGCGTTTCTTGCCCAGTTTCTTGCTCCTGGGGATTGCCAGCTCTTGCCCTCGGTGGAAGACTTCCTTAAAGCCAGCTCTGTTCCATTCCCTTGTCCCTGAGGGAAGTCTCCCAGTGGCTCTCTCTGGCTATCTCCTTGAAGAGCTGGAAGTCTGCTTTCCTAAAGTTAAGGGGCCTAACTTTATTCCTGCCTGCCCATACCCCTCAGGACTGCAGACTCCTCCAGCAATGTGTGATCACTGCAGCTCAGACTCCCTCCAACCCTGATGTTCAAGATCAGCTCACTTCCACTGGTGTCCATCAGATCCAGGATTGTATCCCCTCTGGTAGGGCTGCTGTCTGTTCCTTTGCTCCGGAAGGTATCCCTCATGCTTTCCAAGAGTCTCCTGGCTTGCCTGCAGCTTACTGTGCTGCTTTCCCAGCAGATTTTAGGATGGTTGAAGTGCCCCAGCAGGAAAAGAGCCTGTGAGCATGATGCCTCCTGTAGCTGGAGGAAAAAGGCTTCATCAATAGGGTACCTTTGATCAGGGGTCTGTACTTAAAACCATCCACAAGGTTCCCTTTGTTGCTTTGGTCCCTGATCCTTACCCACAGGCTTTTGACCTGCTCGTGGCTACTCTTCAGAGACAGCTCTTCACACTCAGTCTACCTCCTGATGTAGAGGGTGACCCCTCTGCCTCTCTCCTCACCTGTCTCTTCTGGAGAGCCTGTAGCCATCAATAGTCACACTCCAGTCACATCCCACCAAGTTTCTGTAATGGCAAGAAGATGATAACTTTCTAGGAGCACAGTGGCTTCCAGCTTCTGGTTGCCAGTGTTGCATCAATGTGGTTATAGAACACAGAACAGTCATACAAAGTGTATTAAATGCTATACATGAACTGTGATTGATAGGAGTAAATTTTAGTCTGAAACAGGGTAGTTGAGATCTTATGTATGTGTGTGCTGGTAGCTAGAGAAGCATGCACTTGGAGTGCAAGATAACTTCAGAAATTAACTGAATACAACTTGTGTTTTCAGTATGAATGTTTTAGTCTGTAGCCCTCATTTATTCAACAAGAAAAGCCTGAGTATTTCCATTACATAACTGGACATACACATAGCATACCAGGGACCAGGTCCATCTGAAGAATGATGTTTACAAATCATGGGGAGAAAAGAAAGATGGATGGGAGATTCTAGGTGGTCACTGTCTTGGTCTGACTCATTATGCAGCTGCTAGGCAGTTGTGTAGCACCAGTGACAGTGGTGAAGAAAGGTGTCATGTAGAAGGGAAAAAGCAGTTGAGCAAAATTTGCTAAAATGGTGTAAACAGCAGTTCCCCCATAAGTCTCACTGCAGCTGCTCTGTCTACAGGGCGTCTCAGCAAGGTACTAACATCTACTAGTTGAATAACAGTGCTTAATTTCTAAGCTGTGAAGGGCTGGGCAACACTTCTTCCTCCAGATGCCACAGTATTGAATGAGAGTCTGGACTTTTCCTTCCTTCCTCTATAATTGTCTTTAACTAGTAGGAGCAAACTTTATGATCAAAATCCTTTTCTTTCCCTTCTGAAAGGTCTTCTGGTCTTTTCAAGATTATGACAGAGTATAATGTTGAATTGTATTTGAATAGCAGCAAGGTTTAAAAGAGAAAGTTACTTGTGCCCACTGATTACAATTGTCCACTGGTCTCACAGCAGAAGGTCCTCAAAGGAAAATGGAAATTTTATACATCCACAAACTTCAGTACAGTAGTAGTTCCCTAGTGTGCTCCTATGGTTGTTCTACACCTAGACTTCAAGCTCAAAATCCTCATGGCAGAGTTGAAGTATTGTTCACACTACATCTTCATACAGGCTTCAATGTCTGCTCTCAGTGAGAGTGTCAAAGCTGGGAGTAAACTACTAGATCTCACTGACCCTTAGAAGCCCCACCTGGCTCTCTATCTACACCACCTGTCCATGGGCCCAGGATCCCATTTCAGGTCATTCTGTAGTCTTCAGTCTCTGCTGGGGGTGTATCAGTTTCCAGCTCACCTGCAGCAGTTACTGTGCCTGGCCATGGATCCTACTCATCTAGACTGACCTGCAGACTGACCTTCTACCTGCATCATCACTGTGGAGCTGCCCAGAAATCACTCAGCTGGGTCCTGACCCTGGCAGCCATTACTGCACCTGGTCCTGATCTTAAACTTTGAATTGACTTTCCAGTTTGATCTCAGACCTGCCTCAGCACCAGGAACTTGCTTGTGGATCTGGGCTCTTGGTTGAAGCCAGTTACTATCCCTAGGCCTGCCCTGTGGCCACATTCAGGGGGAGTGGAATAGCTTGCTGACTGGTGAGGCTCATGCCCTACCAGCTGTGACATCATTTATGGCTCCTCCCTATACATCTCATAGAGAGCAGCTAGCCATTGCTGCATTCAGTGCAAACTACTGTTATACTAATGCAGAACAATGAGTAAATTTAAGATCTTACTGTTACTGTCGTAAGGGTTAGGTCCGGAATAGTCTAGATTCTATTCCACACAAGGTGTTAATTGCTATAATCTATTTATTCATTTCCTAAATAATCCTTCTGGGCATTGTGTTGGTTAGCACCAGCTGAATCCTGAAGTTCAATGTATTTGTACACTAAAATAGCCACTACATCCCGTGTAAACAACGGTTTAGAAGAAGGGACAATGAAAACATGTACAGGTTAGCACTATCAAGGTAAGTAGATGTGTTTATGAATGGTGTTCAAATGAGTGAAGTACCTATGTATTTCTGTCATGTGCACATTCTTTAGAGGAGTGTGAACCTATGGAACTGATAGCGGCAGCTGTTCTAATGGGCCAGAGATAAGAAAGTGTTCTTAAGAAGAAACTTACGTTGCAGTCTCATAGCTGAGCCAGAGGCATGATGTGTTTAAGAAAAACTATATTTACTTAATTCTCTTCTTGGGGTTGCCTTCAAGCTTTTTACAGTTAATACTCAAGTCCATACAGGTATATTTGTCACATGAAAGATGAAGGAGGGAAAGGAATATGGATGCAGTAAAGCAGTGATGGTCATCTGACTAAGTCTTTTTTCTTTTTTTTGTTAGAGGACTTAATGAAATAGAATTCAGCTTTGGTAAAGGGACATTGCTCTCATTTCACATTTTCTGGTTTTGGAGACTTGCAGACAGGGCTACACTGTAATTATTTGAAGGGCACAGGCAATCTACACCAACTTTTTGTTTGGCAGCAAATACAAATAAAAATGTTTAAAAGTGTGGTTTTTTAGTAAAGTTAGTTTTGTTATTTTTAAGGTCTAGATTGAAGAAGGACTATGATGACTTTAAAAGACATCCAGACCATGATAAATTTACCAGAGAATTGTGGAGTAATGATGAAAGTGAAGTTGATTCTGGCAAAGAATCTTTTGCGGTAGTATGCGGTAAATCATCAGAGTCTGCAGAACATATAGAAGTTCCCAAAAAAGATCTCTCAGACAATGGTAAGCATATACTAGAATTCAGTAGCTTGAACTTGATTCAGGAGCTGAATTGAGTTCATTTGGGAACCTGATTTTTCCATGTGACTTTGAGTCCTACTTTTTACCTTAACTGTACCACTGATAATATGAAAATGGCTTGTGGTGCATATCTGTCAAATGTAGAGTTAAAGAGGGCAAATATGACCAATATGAAAATTGTGCTTTATTGAAGTGTTTGCCATTTTTTGTGCTTAACTATATCTGTGATAACATAGTAGATCTGTGTGGAATTTACTTTTGTGGTGGGTTGACCTTGGCCGGCTGCCAGATGCTTGCCCTGCTGCTGTTACTCCCCCTTCCTTAAGAGGCTAGGGAGAGAAAACAATACGGAAAAGCTTAACAGTCAAGATAGAGATAAGGGAGATCACTCACCAGTTACTGTCACAGTCAAAATAGACTCACTTCAAGAGAATTAATTTAATTTGTTGTCAATTAAGAATAGAGTAGAATGGTGAGAAACAAATACGAAACCTAAACCCCTCCCTTTCACATATCCACCTTCTTCCAAGGCTTATCTTCATTCCCAATTCTTCCACCTCATACCTTGTCAAATATCATAGGAAGGATGGAATCTGGGGATTGAGGTCAGTTCATAACAGTTAGTCCCTTCTGCTCCTTCTTCATCCCTGCTCCAGTGTGAGGTCCCCCTTAAGGAATTCAGGGCTTTGCAAACTGCACCATTGTGGGTCCTCTCCATAGGCTAGAGTTTTTCAGCATAAGACTATACTAGTGTGGATCTCCCATGTGCCACAGTTCTTGTCAGGAACCTGCTTCAGTGTGAGCTCTTCATGGGCTGCAACTTCCTTCAAGGCATTCTACTCACCTGCAGTAGAATGGGGTCCTCAAGCATCTGCAATGTACATACCTGTTCCAGGATGGTCCTCCGTGGGAGCAGGTAAACCTGCTTGATTAGGGGTCTTACTGAGTTACAGGGGAATCCATTCCATTCCAGTGCCTGGGACATCTCTTACCCCTCCTTCTTTGCTGACCTTGGTGTCTACAGAATTGTGTTTCTATGTTTTTTCCTCAGTCCATTCTGTCACATGCTTCTGCAAAGCATTGTCCATGAGACATCGCCAGCTTGGCTGACAGGCTCAGCCATGTTCTGCAGTGGATTTGTTTTGGAGCCAGCTGTGTCTGGCACAAGGCAGTTCCTGGCCTCTCTCCTCAAAGAGGACCTCCTGCAGCCCCATGCAGTGAAAACCTCAATGCATGGCCCTTCTGTCCACTTGGCCCTCCTCAGCCCTCTTACCACTTCATGCATCCCCTGCTCACTGGCTAGTCCAGCTTGATGCTCAGTGTGAAACGCGTCATTCACATCTTCATCGCACAGGCGTCTCCTACTTGCAAATCCACCTGTTAGGCCTGTCCAGACCCCCAGGCCCTCCTGCTCACCAGCTAGTCTAGCTTGAAGTTTATCAGTGAATACACACTCACTGGATTTGGGGAGGATACAGACACTCACCCCCCAGCAGCTGGCACTAGGCCCACAGGCTGTAACTTTTTGCAGCTGTCCTTGCAGCTCCCCTTACCTGTGCACATTTCTTATATGGGTTGTACAGCTGTACCTTCCCTTACCCGTCCTGGCTCCTTCTCCAGGATCTCCCCTGTTTTATAATCATATTAGGTTCAGAAAGTTATCTTTCTGCGAGAGGCCTCTACAGTTTCCTGATAGCCCATTAATTGGTGTGATTGGTGAAGTTGTTTCTTGACATTGTCTCCATTTTTGTTTGGTTGGATCTGTGTCTCTGTATATTTTTTTCCTGGCTTTTCCCCTTTTTGCCCTCAAGATAACCTTGTCAAAATACACATTTTCATGCTTTCACGTACTGTATTCAATTAATCTAACTGACCAGGCTTGGTTTTCCTCACTGTCTCCCATTGCTGGTCAGGTTTCTGTTCATGTATGTTCTTGTTTATTACTTCCTCCTTTCCTTGTTACCCCCTTTTTGTATAGCAAAGGTCCTTGAACAGATGCCTTTAAAAAATTAGACATTTCCTTCCACATAACTTTACTCTTGCAAACTAGTATATTGCCTTTAGTGAGACTCTGTAAAACTGTTTTATAGGGGTATCAGTTACAAACATGTAAAACACAGTTTCTGTTTTAATGTTCCTTCCAGATGAAATGAAACTATTAGAGATGAATTTACCTGCAGGAAAAAACAGAATTCTGAAAAAAGAATCAGCTTCTAAAGAGATACAGAAGACACTGCCTAAATGCATTAAACGACAGTTCAAGCAAAATAGTTGTCTGGATCAAAGCACTAATGAACTTTCTCCAAGGAAGAAAGTTAAACTGAGCACTAATGAGGCTGTGGTCCATAGTCCAGAAAGTAGCCTGCAGTTGGATAGTTGCTTGACTGAGCTGAAACAATTTGAAGGGTCAACTCTAGAGTTGCTTTCCTTGACAGATCCTGCAACATCAGTATCAAACTTTCTGAAAGGGACCAAACCTATCCAGGCCTTGCTTGCCAAGAATACTGGGAACAAAGTGACCTTAACAAATCAACTGTTGCCTCCTGCAGGCATGAACGTATCTACTTCTGAAAAGTCGGTTTTACCACCTTTGGAATCATCACTGATCAAACCAGCATTGCCCTGCCAGGCCAGTTCAAAGACTGCTTTACAAATGGTATACAAAATGCCAAATGGCCACTGTGTACCAATAGATGTTCCCAACAGCTCAGTGAAAATTCAAATGCAAGCTATGATTGACCCTAAAAATGGAGAAAAAGTCATGCAACAAGTTCTTATTTTACCTAAGAATTTTCTTCTTCAGGAGAAGGAGGAAAAAATTGTGTCCAAGGATATTCAGTCACTACAACAAAAGTCATTTGAGATGTACTGTACATCTTTACCAAAAATGCCAAACGTCAGTGTTTCTTTAACACCTGTTCTGGTGACAAGCCCTGCAAATGACACTCAGTCACCCACTACGTTTTTTAGCAAGAATACTACCCACTCATCACAAGTGACTGGTCCCATGAACACTACACAACCATTGTCTAGTGTAACTTCAGCAGATAACTTATCAATAATTAAGGTAAGCCAAAGTGAAAGTGACAAATTCAAGACTACAGTTTCGACCGCTACATTGCCTGTGTGTTTGGCTTCACCTACTCTTTCCACAGCTAGCCAATCCTTGACACCAACAGCATTAAGTGCATCTACAAACACTCATTCTGCCTCTCACAGTTTAGCATCACAGCAGCAAACTGACTCCATTGAAACTAAGCAAGAGCTAAAGACAGTGTGTGTAAGAGAATCACAATCTATCCTGGTCACAACACGAGGTGGAAACACTGGAATTGTTAAAGTGCAAACGAACCCAGACCAGATTTCATCTAGTAGTTTATGTCCTAGTTCAGGTTTCAGTTATGCGTCTCAACTTCAGGGCTTTCTTGTGCCAAAAACCACAGCAGTATCATGCTCTAGTCTTCCATTTGTAGCAGCAGCCACATCTGATCTCCCACATGCTGGACAATCATCTCCTTCTGGGTTTGCCCCCTCAACAACTTCTTCTGTTAACATTCCAGCTTCCCCTGCTGATTTTACACAAGCAATGGAGAAAAATACCAAATTCACACTACAGCAGCCAGCTGTTTGGGACTCTTTGTGTGGAGTAAGAGAGGACTCCTGCCATGTGTCTTCTTCTTTATCCTCCATTCCATTAGCTAGCAATTTGGTGTCAGCAGCTCCAAACAGCCTTGTTAGTGTCACTAGCATTGGACAAAGTAATATTGTCAAAATTCCAAATTCTTCTGTGCAGCATAAAGGGGATACTCAAGTGAAAACAAAATCTTTTACACAATCTGAGTCAAATTCTGCAACAAATGGAGAGTTAATCAGTGCTACTCCAGTCCAGAAATTTACATTAATCACAAATCCACCAATTTTGTCTCCCTCTGGGGCATCAGGGGTCAATATTATACCCTGTCCAGCATCCACTGCTGTTAATGCTCAGAAGCTGGTTTTCATTAACACACAAATTGCCAGTGGCCCATCAACTACCAATCTAGTTGCAGAGTCATTGAAACAGAACCTTCCTTCTTCCCTGACCAAAACCTTTGTTAATGCCATAGAGCAACCACAGTTGGTTTTGATCCCATCTACAGTAGGAGCACCAATAAGAATAAACTCATCACCAACTATTGCTCAAGTAAAAGATGTGAAAATTGGACTAAATATAGGTCAGACCATTGTAAATACTAAAGGCAATGCACAGGAGGCTGTACCAGTTAATATATTGCACTCTGGCATTTCTAAAGGAGAAGACAAGAAGAGGACAGCCTCGGCCCCATCCTTGACAAGTAGTACTGTGGTTCCTGTTCCAAGTTTTGCTATGTCAGCTAATGAATCTGTAGGTGTTGCAACAAAAGCTGAAAATGCCTTTACGGTGACAACAGCAAATGCACAAATTGAATCTGTTTCAGTAACATCAAGTGGAACTTCCTCTGGGGTGCAGCCTACTGTCTTGATTGGTGGCACTGATCCCTCAAGAATAAGGCCAGTTCTGGGTAATCGACTTTGTACATCAAATATTGGAAATACTGTGGGTATATCAACTGTGAAGACAGGACATCTTGCTTCATCTGTGCTGATTTCAACACAGCCAACAGTATCTCCACAGAACTTCACGTCTGCTCTGCAATTTCCTGTCATTAGCTTGCCTGGACCTGCAGCCACCCCCCACAAGGTGTTACGTACAGTTCCTCAGTTGGCAGCAGTTCCAGCTCCTCTTCCAGTACCAAAAAGACAGTTGCCTACACTGGTTCAGTTTCAGTCATCAGGAATTTCAGCTGCTATGTCAAATCATGCAGGTATTCACAAACCTCAGAGTGTGTTGCCCCCTCCGTCACCAATTACAGGTGAAGTAATTAGTTTTCCCAGTCTTTCCACCCTACAATGCCAGCAGGTGCCTCCCAGTATAGAGAAACAAAGTCATGATTATGCTTGTGCTTCTGCCATTCAGATGTCTGAAGCTTCACCCCCTGTAACAAGCAAAACAGGAGGAATTCCATTGAATGAACCTTCCACTCTACAGAAAATAGTCATTAACACTTGTATGCCTTTGGCACCTGGAACTCATATAATGGTTAATGGTACTCGTTTTGTTGTTCCACTACAAGGCCTTGGAGCTGGCAGCCATGTTCTTCTTCTCTCCTGTAATACAAAACAGACTCCTTTAACAATTAACCATGGTCAAGAGCCTCAAGGTGTACCTACTGTTAATCCAATAACCTCAAAAATCATCCTAGCACCAAGTCATTCATTAAGTTGGCAAATACCAAAACATCCTTTGAAAAGCTCTACAAAAATTGTGAACTCTTTTGGAGCTGCAGATGCTTTACCCATCGTACATGCAACACCCCAGATATTTAGTACTCCAGCTAGCTCATGTACTCCACTGTCTGCAGTAACTCTGTCTGTATCTTCAGTGACAAAGTCTCCCATTAATGTAGCTACATCTTCTGTTTCTGCTGTTCATCCTCCAAATTCTCATTTACCAAGCAACGCATCAGTGTTTCAGCTAGATGGTTCTATAAAAAAACTGTTGGTCAGTCCAGAGGGAGCCATACTGAATTCTCTAAATACTTCAGCACCAAAAGTTCCTTCCCTGTCTTCATCACTGCTTCCTGTTGTTAGTTCCACAAGCAGAAGTGCTACTGCGGTCTTCCCTGCATCTCAGTCACCTTGCCTTGATAAACCTGACAAAGCTGCACCCTGAATTTACTGCAAATGAGCCACTTTGCAATTCTGGGGCATTCTTCAAACTTTGGAAGTTGTTGACTATTGAATAATTTCTTACAATGTTCTAAGTAACTGATTTACTCAATATTAACAAGGTTACAGTTCTTACGTGTTTACCTGTGGGGATGTGGAGAAAGAAAAATTTTAGTTTGTCAGAAGTTTTCAGAAAGTTCTCTAGTAAAAGGCTCAGAGATGACCAATTAACTCATTTAACAATTTGGAGAAATCTCACCATTTGCACATGTCCCATCTTACACTACAGACTGTTTGCCAGTGTGTTTATGACAGTATGTAGATCCTTTTTATTTGTCAAATTAATTTTTGACTTGTTTCTTTAAAAAAAAAATTATGCATTGTAAAAATGCAATCTACAGTATAGAATTGTACATATTCCTGAACTCCTAAAAACCTGTACTAAATAATATGTACAAAGAACTATGCTGTCTTATTTATGTTTTGTTTACATAATGTATAGTTTTTTAAGTATTTTAGTAACTTTGGACCAGTGTACTGTTTAGCAACAATGCAGAAGAATCTGCATGTAATAAATCAAGTTGCTGTACTGCTTTGTGTTGGCAGTAGTTAAAAATATGTGTATCTGTTACACCATGGGAGAATACATACATACATACATACATATCTTTCTTTTGGTGTAAGGTAGAATGAAATTATTTAATCTCTTCTGTTCTCTGATTTTACATTTCACATGATGTGACAGGATTTGGAAGGAAGGCCTCCTTATTGTTCCTCATGATGTAGGGCAAGATAACCCATACTTCATCCATTCTTAATGGTTTGGTTATGTTGCCTAAATAACTGCAGTGAAATGGTAAGGCTACACATGGCTTCCTATACACCAGTCTAAGTCACACTGATTGCTCTTAAAGACTGCCATGCTTTGTCTTAAAGCTCAAAGATCTGTTGAACAATTCACTGTTCTCTGTTTTACACCCTTGTATGTATTTCCATATTGTCTGGTAACTATAACAAGGTCACTCACTAAACTTCCATCTAGCCATAACAACTACCCATTTTTTTCACTGGTCATGCTTTCTAGCTCTGTATGTTTTCTTTAGCTTATAAGTGGTCTATCTGGAAGGAAAGTACTAAAACATCACACAAGATTAAAATAAGCTTTATTAGTACTTTGAATGGGGATAATTTACATATTGCATGAACCTTCCCTTTTTATACAGTGTATTCAGTATTTATTGGCTTAGTTTCAGCATTTGATCTGATAAAAACTTTGGGTTATTTTCTGCAGATCTGCTGAGTTCACAGCTGCCTGCTGCAGTGCTCATGGAGATAAGTTTTTTATATCTTTTGTGATTTTGCATATAGAGAAAGGGTGCCCATCTTATAGAAGATGGTGGTTTTAGAATTGTTGTCTTCGTACGTGTTGGATTTTTTGTGGAGTTTGTTGGTTTGGGGTTTTTTTAGAAATTAGAAGGGAGGATTTCAGAAGAGTTTATGAATGATAGTTGCCTTTTAAATAGCTTTGAAAAAGGGGATAAAAGCTTACATATCTGTATTTAGCAGTGTTTGTAGACTGAGTTTCATAAAAATGAAGCTTCAACCTTTGCTTTCATCCTGTTGAATTTTCTACTTCCCTTCTCCTTTTGCTGTTCACAGTTTTGCAGTTCAGATGTTGAGTTGAAGAACAGGACCACATCTTACTGCCTCTGTCAGCTGCTGTTTAAGTTGTTCTGTAAAGTAACCTGATAGCTATTTAGCTGAAGTTCTGGGAAACTGGGGGGAACAAAGGCTTGCGCCTTCCATAGGAACCTTTCCTTTTGCACTAATTAAAATAATTTCATTGGGGAATTGCATCTTTCTGGATCAGAAATCTCCATCTTATCTCAGGGCTGGGAAAGATGGAAGCTGTCAGTTTTGGAATGAAAGAAGGTTTGTTTAAATTCAGAAAAAGCTACCTGCTATGATTTTCCTACTTCTCATGGAAGATGTTTTGTTATTGATTTTGAAGACACCTGGTACTAAGGATGTCTGCATGCCCTTGTAGAGTTTACAGTACTAAGGATTTTTAAGTCTGACTGCATTTTACAGCTTCAGGTGACTTTTCCAACAGAGGGAGATGGCAGAGAATGGCAGTTTCTTCACGGACATTTTACGTACCCAAAACCCATATGTACCAGCACCTCATTTTATTTCTATTTCACTGGTTGAACCTTGGGACTTGCTTTTTTTGATTTTTCTCTTTTCTTGCAATGATTGTTTTTTCCTTTTTTCTAATTTACGTTTACTGTAGAGTGAGTTGTCTACATTGTTTGGAAAGCTCAAGACTAGGTTCTAATATTGAAGTTGTTCTTGATGGAGAAAAAAGTCTTGCATGGCATTTTTCTGTGTGCTAATGTAATACAAAGATTTATGCTATAATTCTAATAAAGAGAAAAGTTAGAAAAGCTGAATTTAGGAACTCAGGACTCAACTTGCTTGAATGATTTCCAAGAAATTTTCTGAATTAATATGGCAATATTTTATGATTTTCATAAATATTTTATAATTTGTCAGACATAAACTTCACATGAAAAGTTTGATAAATTTGATTACAGTTTTCATGGATTTTTATTCTCAGACATATGTTTACATTCCAAATCCTACTGGAGAAAGACTTGAGACTACTATGTAATGGGCTTGCAACATTCATTATGTAAAACCAAATTTTAGTAATTTTTGTGAATAAAATTCCTATTCTCAATACTCTTCTCTGATAGTATGAATGTCAGTCAGAGATAAGGCTTTTTTTCAAATGAACCTAAATACCCATTGACAATTTGCTATGTACCTTTTGCACTCCACCAAATGAATAGTGCTACCAGTAGCACAAAAAGAGCTGTAAAAAAGTATATTATATTCACAGACACAATGAAAAAGCAGAACTGCCTGTATCTCGACTTGAAGTTAAAAAGACATTTAATGAAACATATAAACATAGATATATAAATCAGCCTTTTAAGAAAACATGTTCAGCATTTCAGATCTTGCAAAATGCCTTGATTTTGGACACCCTCTGATATTGTATACAATATTCATACACTATTACATGCAAAATTCTAGGTTTACTAATGACTTTGAATATTCTGAATGACATCCTTTTATTTACCGGAATGGACGTGTTCTGCACAATGATTTTGCTTTGCTGTGAGTAGAAAATTACATTAATATTGCTTCACTTTTTAAACCCGGATGTATGTGCTGCCATTTTCTCATAGGGATTCTGCCACCCTAGAAGCAATGATATTTGATAAGTCTTAGGGATCATAAAAATACCTATTCAAACCAAGTGTTTCTGCCAAGTGAAATCTGTGCTGATTTCACTGTGTGGCGTGGCAAAGGGTTTAATGTGAAAAGGGAAGGAAAAATTCTCCTGGTGAGTGTAGAGAAACTAGTATGTCTCATGGGAGTAGGAAGAAAATTACTAAAAGCTAGCATTTGTAGGGCATTCATAGCATCCAGTGTGTGTGGTTCATAGCTGGTTTTGCTTACACTTTGTGGTAGTGCAGAACTTTAGTAGCCCAAATTAATTTTAAAGTAAATTAATAATTTTTATTGTACCATGAATGTTTGTTATGTTTAAGGACTGTTTCCTTTAAGGACTCTGACCATGGCCAGAGGTGCTCACAAAAACTTAACTCATGTAGATTGCTGTCTGTAAGCTGCACCTCAAATGAGTTCACTGACTCAAAATAATAAGACAAACAAGATTATGATCCAACTATCCTATTATGATGGCCACGGATCCTAGCATCACCTAGTCTCTTGAAGCACACAACAGTAGCATTCCAAAAGAGCACAAAACCTGGTCTGAACACTCTTTTAGTATCCACTTACCTGTGAGCCAGAGCATTCCTCACACAGCTGTGATTTTTTTTTTTTCCAATTTAATAGCTTTCAGTGTATTTCTCTTGATGAAATACATCAATCCTTTCAAGAATTCATGGAAGTATGTAAAAAGACTATTACCATTCACAGCATCCAGTGGTAAAGAGTTTGTAAATAGATCTCCTTTCTGGTTTTCAAACTTGACACCTGCTAGTTTCATTTGATGCAAATAATATTTATATTGTAAGATACAAAAAGCCTTTGCTCTTTGCTATTTTTCCATATGGCCTATGTAGACCTTTGCCATGTTGGTTGTCTCTTTTCTAGAATAAAGAGAAATCATTAATTCAATTTTTTCTTTCATGGAAGTGATCAATTGCTGTCATTGCTGTGTATACCTTTTCAATTTTATTATAACCTTGAGATGTGGTATCAGAAGAGTGCTTCTTCTAAAGGTCGTATGAGCTATTCAGCAGTGTGTAGATGATTTTTCTTTTATAATAATTATTTCAGTGTTTTTGTGGGTTGGTTTCTGATATTATTTAGTCTTGTACTAACTTTTTCATAGAAATATGAACTGTAAACCAACTTCACATCAGTGTCAACTTAATTAATCCAATAAATCTGTACCACTTACAGAATCTTTTAGCTGTAAAGACATGATCTTTAAACCAGATTATTAAAACCACTGCAAGTCAGGCACTCTCTGTTCCTATTTTTGCTTGGTTTTATGTCTCTTGAAGATGTGAAAGGACAAACTACTGTAATGATTTTCAACATGATGCTTTTTAAATCTCATTGTTTTTGTGCATAGGATACAAGATAAAATCTGTATATGGTCATTTTATACAGATGGGCATCCAGATAAGGATTTTTTAGTTCTTGAAGAAGCCACTTTGCAAATATGACACAGTACAATTTTTTAAAAATAGTACAGTATTTTAAAAAATTTTCCTTGAAACTACAGTGGCATAAAAGCAAACTTTAAAATCTTGATAAATCTTAGTCTATTTTCCTATTTTCTCAAAATATGGAATTGTCTAGTCAGTAATCACACCTGAATGTCTTGAGTAATCTTGGAAACCTGGATAGTTCATTGTTTCATATGTGGCTGGTCCAGAAATTCTTCAGAAATTTGGTGTTCTTACAGTATCTTTTATTACAATCTCAGCTGAACTACGCACGTTAAGTGAAAATGGTATGTAAAGGTAATGCAAAGAAAATGTAATTTATTGCTTATAATATTTTTTGAAATTATTTGTTCCACAGAAGGTCTATTAAAATGTGCATAAGTATGACTTCTGACCTTTTGCAGATGAAGACATTGAAGTTCTGAGTTCTCATAGCAACATGGAGGAACTGGGAATAGAATCCATGGTCCCCTGACTCCTTCCAGCATCCCATCCATAACTAAAGGTTAGACACCTAGATTACTGCTTTATCTTCCCCTATTCTCACTTTTTACAATGAAGAAAATATTTGGAAAATGCAATTATTTTCAAGAATGTGAGGAGCATAGACAAATAGCATTTATAAAAATTAAATAGCAAAGGGAAGTAAGATAGTAAAGAAACAACTGTGATTTTTGTGATTGTCTTCAGGCTTTAGAACTTTGCTTTTCAATGCCGATGTCATAAAAAGAAGACAATATACTTATTTAATTATTTGCTCATATTGGTTCCATCTCAAGTATAAATACACAAGAATGAATAAATAAGTATAAAATCTGACTATTTTGCCTGTCAATAGGTCGTTGCCATCTGGTACCAGCATACACATTGAGATCTGCCCTCATAACATGCTGTTATTTATAGAATCATTGCTCATTCTTTTTTTTAATCACATGTGGCAGTGAAATTGAATAACAGAGAGGAATTAGTGACTGTGTATTACTATGTAGCCACTGGACATCTTCCTTATAATAAAGGAAGAGTAGTATCATGATGGATTCCATTTACACAATATAAAAGCTGGTATTTTTAGTATTATAATAAAGTTTTACTACTGGGAAGAAAGAATTGCGTACATCTATTTTTAAAGAACATTGACAATTCATATTAGCAACACACCAATACTGAAATTACAGTAGTTTGTTTGAGGCTTGTCTGAACAGTATTTTACAGTTCAACTACATTATGCCTTCAAAATACTGTTCTTGCCAGTAGAGTGCTTTTTGCAATGTAGTCATAGAAGAACAAAAAGTGGAAGAGGCCTATCTGAAGTATTTGCCTCCTCCATGGCATAAGAAATTGATGGAAAACCAGTATGTTGTTGAAAGAGAGCCCATGTCTGAAAGTGAATTTCTTACTTAGGCACACGAAATGCAAGTGACGTGGCTGGTGCAGCAGACCTATCCTTGTATTAGCTGCACCTTGGACTGGGTGTTTCACTCACTGTAGTGGCCAGTAGACAATGCTTAGTGGAAATAATTAAGAAATAGATCAAGTATGAGTTAATTTTCCCAGTATGTATACACAGCCTCCAACAATAATTCCAGGAAAATTGTGTAAACTCAGCCTGAACTTGTCTGTGGCATGAAAGGGCAGATTTTGCAGCCAAAGAATCAGGTACTGGGAAGACATGAGCAGTAATTCAGAGAAGCAGAGCAGCAATAACAGTGATATAAAAGCATAAAACTTCTTATCCATTATAAGAAATGGTGCATGAATCATGTTCAATGGCAGAAGGTTTGAATGAGAAGTTGACTGAAATTGTTACTGGGGGCCAAAATCCAGGAAGTGAAGATCATGTGGGCTGCACATCCTGGGAATTATGAATGTAAGAAATACAAGCTTCTTAAATCTGTGTTGACACCAAAAATGTTCAGGTTGAGTTTCCTGGAGATAGAGAAATAGGAGTAACTTATACAAGATAGACACCTGATACCTTTTCATCCTTGCAAGGATTTCCCTACAGGATATTAATGTCAGGGAGCAGTCACACTTACCATATGATTTTTTTGTTTTAATGCAAATGCTGAAGCAGTTTTTAGGTTTCTCTTTTTTATAGCTTCCAGATAATCCTAAAATTCCTCCTGCAAACAACTGCAGAATCAAATCTAACACTGAAGTATGTCTAAAAAGGGCCATTCTTTTGCTTCAGAGTGTCAGGAGCAGTGAGTTACTTGAGGTGTACGTGGTGCTATGGAAAAACAGAAATCAGTTACTTTTGCCAAGGTGAGTGGGAAAGGACAAATTGATAGAACTTGGTAGATGACACCTTTTTCTTAAGAAACTTACTTTCAACAAAAATGAGTCAGATCTTTCCCCTTACAGCTACAAGATGATGGTAAGGTGAATGAAAAAAAAAAAAAAAAAAAACTGTGGAGAAGGAAGGCTGCTTTTCCGTGTATGCAGAGAACATAGGAAACATGCAGCAGAGAATTCTGTTTCTCCCATCCAGAGATGGAAGCTAGTGGAGTTGAAAAGACTACAAAATTAGTATTGAAAGACTGAAGTATTTATATTAGGCCATCGCTTTATTTTACTGATTTTAACTTGTGATGTATCTCTCAGGAAAGGAGCAAATAAAGAATGTGGTCCAAACATCTAACTGAGGCTATAGTAAAATGGTTTGGAAATGTGAAGGCACATGTGCTGCTTAAGCATTGTTCAGATTTTCACTCATGTGAATCCACCAAGGCTGGAGTTTGCAGCTATTCCATGTGAAGAGCTTTCTGGGGAAACAAAAGGAAGCAGTAACTGTGACATTTAATATCAATAGTGTTGTCACAATGGGTTATAAATTCTGCCCTTTTTTCTCCAGTTAAATAGGGCCAAGTAGTCTCTGGTTCTTTTTTTGATTAATAAATGTCATAGAATTGCAGTACCACAGAATGGGTTAGGTTGGAAGACACTGCAGCAGGTCACCTCGTCCAGTCTCCCTGCCCAAGCAGGATCATCTCAGAGCACATTGCACGGGTTTGCTCCAGGCGGCTCTTGATTATTTCCAGTGAGGGAGACTCCTCAATCTCTCTGGACAGTCTGTTCCAGTGTGAAAGATGCGATCCAATGGGATTTGAGAGATGGTTCATGGTGGATGAGAATAAGATGGATGAGCCTTTCTACTTCATATGGCTGTGAGCACAAGGCAGTTAGGAACATCACTACCCCAAAAAATGTAGTCTTTTGTATTGGCACAAGAGTAAAATCTATGTGGACAAAACATATAGAAGAGCTAGATTTTGGCAGCAAGGGAAGCAATAGTTCATTCTGTTCATTAGAAATCTAAGGCTGCTGCCTTTTTAGTCAAAGCCTTTTTGTGTAAAAGAAGTAATTTGAAAATTTGAAGTTCTCTAAGGATGCAAAATATGGAGAGTCAATTCCAAAAAGTGAACAAGTGCTGGATTTTAGCGGGCAGCATATATGGGATGTTTAGATAATACTGGTAGATAGCTTTTTAAACTTTGTATTGCTGCTAGTTTACCTCTGTTACTGCATGTAAAGTTCAGCGCAGATCTGTGTCCAGAAGACAACACTGGAAATTTTCAAGCACTTTTCAACTCTAAGGGGCAGTAAAATATGTTTCATGAAATGGCTTGAACACACAACAACGTTTCAGCCTTGTTGCACGGTTTAATACATAGTCAAAAGAAAAGTACAAGAGCATAAATGCTACTTCTCCAAAGATAAAGAAACTCATTAACCTTTTCCTTTACATAAGAAGTGAAAAGAAGCTTTTAAAGGCAAAAAAAATGAACACTTATGTCATGTGAGTACATGGACATAACACCAACAAAATAATGGATATTCTACCAATATTAGACATAAAAATGAATCAAAGTATAGCACTGAAAAATTACAAGCAATGTGGCTAATACTAATACAGTTCTGTCCTGGTTTAGGACAAATTAGGGGAAATCTCCAAAAGGGAGCCCCCTAAAAAAAACCTCCTACCACCCCTCCCCCAATATCGGGTTCGGGAAGGAATTCCTCGGAGGAGCACAGTGGAAAACAAAACCTATTTATTAACAAGTAACAAAAGAACACTCCCCAGCACAAGAAAAGAAAAGAAACCAGGCAGTGCTGTGGAGGGCGCTGAGCTTCTCTCGCAGACTCCGGGGGTTCTGGACGCCGGGGGTCCTGGACGTCCCAGGTCAGATCCGGAGCCGGTCCAGTATCTTCGGGGGAGGGTAAGAAAGAGGGAACGAAAGAAAAAGAAAAAAACAGCGTAGAAAGCAGAAAGCATCAAAAAGAGCAGCTATCAGCTAAGAGCCGAGGCAGGAGCGAGCAAGCAAGCCAGCCAAGCCAAGCAGCCAAAAGCAAAAGCCAAGGTGCCTGGTCACACTCACACCCCTCCCGCCCCGCCGCGGCAAGACGGCCGGGGGGAGGAAAAGGCGCAGCTGCCAGACACAACACACGATATTGGGATAAAGGCTGTCACCCCACGACAAGTTCTTAGGGCCAAGATAATATACATACATCCACAGCTGTAGCAGAAGTTAAGTCAAAGGACATTGTTGAAGTGAATGTCACTGGATTCTCCTAGCAACCAGCTCCAAATGCCAGTCATTTACACTAGACAAGTGAGACTAAAAAAGCAAGCACTTCCTAAGGAAGGTTCATGGTACTTTCTTTTATGATAACTTTCTGACATGTACAGACTGTACCCTTTGGCTCTTTACTCAAGAGGGTGTTTTGCTGCATGGTGCAGTATGCCAGGAAGATTGAACTCACCAGGACTTCCTGCATTTTACCTTTATTCAATAGCTTTGAAGGCTACGTTAAGGCTTGTAACTGCATCAGAAAGTAGATGGTCCAGGAGGGTCATACCAGGAATCCAAACACAGACAGTGTAACTGCTATTGCCATTGTAATTTACCAATCTGACCAATCTGTTACCAAAACACACTATATTAGTAAGGGGTCTGTGTATGAAGAATTTGTTGCATCTACATAAGAGTTCCATGCATAGCTATGGAAAAGTTCCTAAGATTCTCTTGTACAGATAAGCTGTAATAACAGTGTCTCTGCTGCCCTGATAGTGCAGATAAGAGCATCATTCTCCAGCTATGACCAGCCACCTCTTCATCAGCATCCAGGGGAAAAACTCAAATTGCTCATGAATTTCTTCATTAGCTTTTTTTGATGGAAGAAAATGAAGCTAAAATATGCTTGTTCAAAATTATAGTTGTAATACAAGGCATCTAATAGCAGCCTGATTGCAAAGAGGGTAAAAACCAGAGGAACAGAAGGTCTTTGATTTTTACATCCTCTCTATTACATACATGACCGAACTAAAGAAATTATTAATCTAATTTAGTGACCTGTTGCTGGGGTCATATAACTGTCTAATCTGAAAGACTTTCCAGGAACGTTGAACACCATGTTCTCCATGTATGGTAGTTAAAACATTTCTGTGCATTTCTCTTTAAAGGAGCAGATGTCCTGGAATGTTTTAACTAGTCTTTGGTAAAGTGCAGTGTTACTGAGTGCAATACAGAAAGTACCAGTTCTTGCATCATGCAACTCTGGCAATTACAGATCTCTTGTTTTCAAGGTATGACCTGTCTTGTATCAGTGTTTCCTTGTTTTAATGAGTCAGCAGCCAGACTCTGCCATGTACCATCACTGGGCATAGAGCCAGATTTGAAAAACGGAATTTACAATAGCATTCAGCATGAGTAATAAAGTTTACAACTATTTGAGTACTCTGTGAAGCTCTATTTCATGCTCTTATTTTAATGCACTTAAATCTGAGACCACTGTCTAACTGTGTCTATAAAGCAAAAACACTATTTTCACCAGGAGAAAAAAGGAGACGACATTCTGAAAACTAAGGATAGGTTTCCAGGAGGGCTTATCTATCCTTTAAGTATCTATAAATTCAGCTCAAAGTTTAATTGTTCCAGTTCTGGCTGCTGAGGAGTTTTAATAATTTAGCCTTACGTAGTCCATGAAGAAATTAAAGTTTCTACTTCATCAGTGTTAATTTCCTCATGAGCTTTTGCAACATCTGGTAATATATTTAATTCTGACACTACTAAAAATGTGTGCAATCAAGTAAAGCTTTTTGAACTCTAAGCACTTCTTCATAGTAAATAAGTTATATTAATTTTTGATTTTTTTCTCAGACATGAGAAAATTTTTTTCTCAGACATGAGAACTGTATGTCAGTTCTATTCCACTGGAATACTACAGTCTTTTGAAAGGATGCTGCCCTAGAGTAGAGAAATGCAGAGTGCTGAGTTGCTGAAGATATCAGCCCCAAGCTTTAGCTTACCAGTCCTGCAAGAAAATTAGTCAGCCATTGTGTTCTACAGCTCTAGTGCTTACTAGCTATAAGATGGCATTTTTTTTCCCCTGTGTATTCTTCTTTCTGTTACTAAATAATTCTACAGTTTTTTTCCTGACAGGTGGATATTGGAAATGACACAGGTAAGACAGCTTTTTAGGTTAAAATTCAAAAATACGTCTCTGAGTTTGTAAATAAATATATCAACTAAATTTATAAAAACATATGGATGTATTATAACCTTTCACAGGAATTACTGATATTTATTACCTTCCAACAATTTTACTAATTTATATAAACATTTTTATTACAGAAGAAACATTTCAAAAAACCCATATTTATTATTTGTCAACACAGATGGAGCTTATGTTAGGCAAGTAACTGTGCCTTGTGTTGAAAACTTATTTTGTTTTAATGTTTGTATTTGCATATTTGATGACAAAGAACTAGATTCTTTACTAATAGTAGTTAATAATTGCTTTATTAAATCAGTTTTCTTCTGTAACTACTTTTGATTATAATGAATGTTGTACCATTCCAGCTGCCTCCTGCTGTGAGATAATCTGGCCTTGTGTTTAAATTTATTGATCTGCATATAGTCTTAAGTAATAATCTGGCAAGCAAGCAATAACAAAAAGGCTGAGTAAACAGTAACTATCAAATGTATGTAGCCAGTTTATGCATATCAAAATCCTTTGGTTTTTATTATTGCTAGTGTTCTGGCAAGCTAGGAAAATTTACATCTAGAAGTCTGTCTTCTGTATTCTTCAAGAAAAATGGCTTTTGTGCATTTTCTTATATAGTTTCATCATGCTAGAAAGAAATGACATGTAAGTCTTTCTATTTAGAAAGTTCTTTTCCTCTCTCACATGACTGCCACAAGGAAATGAAAGATGATGTCATTATATCCATTGCAGTATGAAATAATATGGACTCCAAGCAGAAACTCCTAGATTGCCTAGATTGATCATGTTTTATAAGGAATTAATTCATTACAGGTACATAACAAGTGATATGAGGTTAAAGTGTGTTGTAAAACATAGTGACTTTTTGGAAGTTGATTTTAAAACTGCTGGTGAGGAAAAGTTTGTAAGAGGACGTAGTCAGATGGTTTGGTTCATTTTGTGACAGATTCTTTTACATCACATTCTAAGGAATAGTTGTTTGGGGTTTTTTGGTTTTGTTTTTTGGTGGGTTTTTGTGTGTGTGTGTGTCTGTTGTTGTTTTGATTTTTTGGAACTTTTTTTTATTTTTTAAAGAAAGGGAAACTAAATGAGGAAGATGAAGACAAAGGTGCTGTCACTTTTTATTCTGATTGATACTGAATAGTGTGTGACTACAGATCTATGTAGACCTATGAAGGATTCAAGATGACCAGACCATAATGTATTAATCTGACTGCAAAAAGTGAAAAGCTTAAAACAAAAGCACATTCAGATTTATTGAGGCATTTCAAGGACCAGTTCTGTAAATTAAGTGGGAATAGTTTTCAGCCACTGCTAGTGAAGACATGTTGTTTTCTTTTGTATGATTTTAGCTTTAAGGAAGTTAAGCATTTACAGGAAATAAAGAGCTAGCATGAGTAAATGGAATCAGTATGTTTAGGGTTTCAAATTTCATGGTATCATGGTGAATAAGGAGGTGGTGACTGATCTGCAGCAATTTTGTCATAAGCTGGTGGAGCATCAGGTACCTATGGTAAGGAAAATGGGTGTGAAAGATCAAAAAAATCCCAACTGAATTACAAGGAAAATTACAAGAAAATGACATTAAACACACAGCAAGCTATTTACCAACATATTAGCTACAGTTCTATGACTTAAAGAAGCTGAACTCATTCATTGTGTCTATTTTTTAAGGTTACTTTTTTGGTAGTATGTTTTCTGGTTTTGCATCAGATTCACTTTATTGCTATTGTTCATACATAGAGAGAATTTTTGGTGTTAAAAAGGCAGGAATATTTTTCTTTTATATATGGGGTGTTTTTAGATTGATAATTCAAATATTGAAACTTTTATTTAGGAGTCTTGATGCAGGCATATTGTCGTATTTGTAGTGGTAAAAATTTGAGCAGCTTCTTTAAAATTGTTTGAGGTTAGCCTCTTCTCAATTCTAAAAAAATTCAGCACACCCATTTATATATACTTATCACTTAATTTATCTTTTTGAAAATTGAAGGTTTAAATGTAATCATCTTTCTGTAATGATTAGAAGACCTAACACATTGAAGTTTTGTAGTATTCTCTGATAATGCTTGTCAGAACATAGTATACTAGACACAATCCATTTGTTGTTTTTTTGAATGGCAGAAAATCAGTTAGGGAGACGTTTGGGATTTTCAGTGTATTTCAGCATTCAGGTGTTGCATCATTCTAATAAATTGCAAAATGCTAATACAATTTAAGAATAAATATAAATTGAAGACAATAACTTTAAAATAAGCATTCTAAATAGTAGATGTAATTTTTAAAAAATTTCACAGTACAAATTATTCCAAATACTACTTTCTAAGTTGATATTGAAGCATTGAAGACTCAAAGTATGAGGGAATACACCATGGGAGAAATCATCAAGTGCCTGTTTAACAACATTATCTCACCATGTCTTACTCTGTTTTAAGTGAGATCTTGAGTTGCAACTTACCACAGAATTAAAGTCTCTGTAGTCCTGCAGAGCCATTTTGCAGTCCAGTATTTCTCCCTCACCTACCACGTTTTGTATTGTGCTCACACTAGAGCTTTTGCTCTGTGACGGATCATAAAGAAATATGGGGAAGGTGAAAGGAAGAAGAGACTGTGAAGTTGGAGCAAAATTTGACAGCACATATACAGTATGTATTAGAAAGATACCTCACCTAACACTTTGCTGTCTCTGCTGAGACATATGCTCTCTCTCCTGTGTAATCCAATTACATTGCCAGAAAAATAAGTATCACGTTTTTCGGACTGATGAAGGAACTGACATCTCATGTACTCAAATGCCTCCTATTTTTTATGGCAGCTATTTCTTTCCTTAATCCCCAACCTTTTTGTTTTCCAATTTTTAGCATTTCTTTTGTACACATTCTGTACCAGTTCTCCCCTAGCCTAAGAAATAGCCTAAGAAAAATAAGATTTTCAAAACCAAAAAGTAGGAATCTGTCATGAGAAGGAATTAAAAAACAGATTATGCTTATTGCCAGGATATACAAAGCAGGCATTCTGTTTGATATTTGAAGGGGTTTTTTGAGTATTACCTTCATTTTTTGCAACATTTCACTATGAAAGTTCAGCTTTTAGGTATTCTGACAGTTGATGTATGTATTGGATAGATAACTGGATAATTGGATAGAAAGAGAATGGGACGAAGTTAACAGAAACAGCAAGGAAGTGAATTTGCTGACTTACATGAGAGCTTTGCTGGTTTTTTTAGTCCCAAATAGTTACTTATATCTTCTTCAAAATATTAGATTAACTAAAATATACTGTAAAACACGTATTTGCATAAAGCTTTGTCCTAGTTTCAGCTGGAGTAGAGTTAAATTTCTTTTAAACAGGGGTACGGTGCTTTGTTTTGGATTCATTATGAGACTAATGCTGATAACATGATTATTTGGTTTTTGTTCAGTAGCTCTTGCTCTAAGGCAAAGAATTTTCAGTGGCTCATGCTCTGCCACAGAGCAGGTGCACAAGAAACTGGGAGGGCTCATGGCTGGGACACCTGACCTGGACTACCAAAGGGACATTCCACACTGGAGAACATCAGCTCAGTGTAAAAATAAGGGATTTGGCTGGAAGGGGCTGATTGCTGCTCAGGAATGAGATGGACATCAGCTGGGGGTGGTGAGAAACTCTTTTGGGCATCACTTGTTCCTTTGGGGTTTTACTCCTCTCTTTCTCACTCCTCTCTTTCTCACCTTTTCATTATGATGATTATTTGTAGTAGATGATTATATTTTGTTTCACTTACTGAGCTGTTCTTATTTAACCCATGAAGTTCACCTTTTCTTTCCAATTCTCCTCCACACCACGGTGGCAGTAGGAAATAAGCGAGTGTCTACACAGTGATTAATTGATGTCTGGGGTTAAACCATAACAAGCTTTCGCTTTAAAGAATTAAAAAGACCTCCTTTTCATAAGAGAGGGAGCAAAACTTCAAAACTAAAGCTTTGGGACTTCTACCAACAGTTGTTATGAGAAGGATTGTACCTTTTTAAAAATAATTTCTAAGAAGACAGAAATGAAAATATTTTTAAAGTAGTCTTTAGAAAGCAAATCTCAAACCTGTCCCACTTTTTTTTTTGAATCTTAAAACTGCAAGTCAGATTTTGTATGGATGAATCACACATCACCCATAGGTGAATAGGTGAACATATTTACCTACTTGTAACAGTTCTTTTTCTTCTCTGCTTCCTAGATTTACTCTAATCATATCTGTCCTTATTTAGGGGTAAATCTTATGAACAGTGAATATATTACTTTTATTTAAATGAAGGGACACTGAACGTCTTTTCATTTTGTGTAAATATAAATAAAATGCTTCCTACAAATAATTTTTTTTACTAATTTTACGAAATTTACAGATAAAGTTCTTTACTGATGTGTTGTGCAAAGTTCGGCAGCTGGTTTCATGTCCCTTTGCTTCTGGTTCCTCTTACCCCTTTGTCTGACTTGCAAGTTCTTCAGGACAAGTTGTGTTTCATATTGTGTCGTTTTGTCTCTGATATATCTCAGTGTAAATACTGCCTGAGATAATGATGTCCTGTTACAGATTTAAAGTTCTCTGCATTATTGTCATGCAAATCAAGCTAATATGTTGCCAAATAAGAGCATGAGAGAAAACGAGCTACCACACTTACCCGCAGACTTTTGTAGCCACTACGTCTTTTGTAATACCAGCAGCCAAAGGCAAGTAAAATTGCCAGCACCAAAATGAACAGTCCAATACCCAGAGCTCTGTTGGGAAAGCAAAACAAAATAATTTGCACCACAACTAGATGCATCCTCCCAGGAGCAAGTATGGTTAGACCAAAAGTTTGTGTCAGCGTCTTTTTAGCAGAGGAAGGCATGGAGCATTATTTGCCTCAGAAAATAGGCAAAGTATCAATAACTTCAGTTAGTATCTATAGATTTAGCTGTTAGCTAATTTGTATATGGAATTCTTAAACATTTTAAAAATATATTCATTTGAAAATAATTACCTACCAGTGACTGATTCCAAAAACATACCTAAGTCTCACAAATCACAGCATTGTGATATTGCAAGTGAATGTGCATTAAATTAAATGCCACATCTGCAATGGTGCAGCGCATTTTATTTGCTAAATTTCATTAGGCAGCAAGTATTTAAAATGTATCCTAATTGGATCATATTGCAACAACTTCTTACGAATGAAGGGGTTTTTTGATACATAAAACACATTGCAACCTTAAAAAATGAGTAAGAAACTTTTAATTATTCATAAAGAGCTCTATAAGGATTTAGTTCTTGCATGACATGCTAGGCACACTGTTGGTGTCACTGGGTTCTTTTTGGGAAAATATGCTTTGCAAACTCTGCTGTAAAACATCCTTCCCACTACTCACTGGGGACTTGGCAGAAGCAGCACATTTCCACTTTACATCAAAAAGCAAGCTGACAAAGTAATTTCAAATTTCCTAGTCACAAAAAGCCTTCCTTTAGTGTTAATATCCTCCCTGTTGAGAAATACTGAATTCATTCCCCATTTTTTTTTTTTTTTGTTCTTTCCCTGTTCAGGAACAGAAAAATATATGAAATGGTTAAAGGGAAAAGAGTATGTGGGAAAAATTGTTATGTGAATCAGGATAAATCCATTATAACATACTTCTGTATATCTTATGCCTAGTTGTCTTGCAGTAATTACCCCAGGCTTTTCCATTGGGACTGAGTAGAGGCGTAGGTACTTACCACAGAGTTTTTATATCTATTTGTGGTCATTTTCACTGACTCCAAGTTTCATAAAGGAGTATTTCCTTGTGAACTAAAAAGCCTGAAAGGAGATGCAAGCAGATTTGTGTGGCAGAAGAGGCTGCCTTTTTGTCTGAACTAACTTTGTGCTATTTGGAACATGAAGCCCCTTGGAGACAAAGGGATTTTCTTTTTCCCAAGTCTGTGGATCTTGTAAGTTGCTCCTGCCCCTTGAAGACTTTGTGTGGCCTGCAGGCCTGTTTAACCCAAGAACAGAGCTCACAGCAGTCACTTTATGATGCAGCCACAGTTGTGAGATGGCTCCACTGGTTTTCCTACTCTTGCCATCACAGTTGAAACTTGGAGGGACTACTTCTGCAGGCAGCTGGTGCCCTCTCTACATTTTTAGACTTCTTGCTTGTCACGTGTTGTGTTGTTTTAGCTGTCCATTAGCCTGTATGCCTCTGTCCTGGTTTAGGGCAAATTTAGGAGAAAACCCAGAATGTATTTCTGGAGCTGGTACTTCTGATGGCACATTTGCCATCTAACTCCTTCCCTAACTACTCAGAGGCTAGTATGGAAAGTGTGGATGCAATTTCTTGCCATTCCACTTAAAGTGGAAGTTGTGCTGCTAGGAATCTGGGTTCATATCTAGAATACTTCTGGTGCTGGAAGGAGAGGGTCACTGTTATGTATCTAGAAAAACTACTTACAGATGCAGCCGCTAGAATTCACAGCACTTAGAGGTGAGCATGCCTAGTTTTTTGGTTTTTTTTTTTTTTTTTTAAGAACTGAGCTGCTTTGGATGGGCTAATAGGGAGCTTTATCCTTTGTTTATTCTTTTTGCCAGGGCTGATGGAGGAGCAGCCATCTTGCAGTATGAGTGATTGCAACAAGTCATTAAGTTTGGGGCCCAGTAAGCCAGAGCTAGCAGCACAGTTCACATACAGATATCCCAAGCACACTGGAATTACTTGCCTTATGTAATAAAACGTTACCAGTTGGGCAGTGTCTCTAATAATCCCAGACCAAACATATTTTATTGTAATTCAAAGATAAAAAATATATGCCAGAAACAATTTGGGAATCATGTTTGTATGGCACTGATGTCTTTTGCTCTTTTTTTTTTTAACCATTTCTCTGGGGGGGTTCTGCCATTCTTTAGGGTGAGATAATGTCCCTTTGAGGTTCCTAAGAGAGGTCTGTGAATATAGAGATTTAGTACACAGATCACCTTGCAGCAGCCTTAAAAGTAAATTCTAAATAAGCCTCAATAAACCTGGTAAAGGCTGATGACTTGTGATCATATGATTTAACTCCAGATTATTGAATTCTGCAATTCTGATTTTTCTTATCATTGAGGGCTGTCTCAATGAGGCTGCACTATGACAAACATTAGAGAGAACTACAAGATAGTTAAAAGGCATTCCATCTATATACAACAGCGAATTTTTTTGATACAATTTTCTGGTTTTCTTTCAATACAAATTCTTTCACCAGCTTACATGCCAGCATAGGTTTTGATTTATGCTTACTCTTCTGCTGCAAAATAGACATGTCCTTTCCCTCTGAAGTAGTTGCTGTCCAGGTGGTTATGTCTTCTGGGCATTTTGTGAGGTTGGTCCTGCTCAAACCTACAGGGTAGAAACACAGTGTGTCAGTGTGATAAATTATTTGTTACCATTGAAGCTTAATTATTTTCAGCTTCTTTGTTTCAATAGGAGCATTTTAGAGAGGCAGGATGATCTGATATCTTCAGAATCAAGTAGATCCATATACACATGCAACTGTCCCAATTTAGGATAAAGCTCAAAACCATAACTATCGTCTACATATTAGTATCACCACTGACATCAAGGTGTTTGCAACTGAGTGTAACAGAGTTTGCAGAATTTGATGTGGTCTGTTTAGGTGCCAAGTGATGGCAGATTTTTGAAGTAAAATCTAGAATATAGGAAAAAAAAGGCAATTTACCTGGACAAGAAAAACTATTTAAAATAAAAACTAATATTGTTCTTTAAAATACTTGTTTTTCTGTTCTGTAATTTCCCAGAATTCTGTAATTCTGTAACACTCAGGGGATAGTTTTTCAATCACTGGCGACTCTCAGAGATCTGTTGAATTTCAGGTGGGAATACTGATTTATGTCTGCTGACAATCTACACTCAGATTTGTAGGGAATTTATATTACAATCTTTATTCCCAGTCTTAAGGTTGTAATCACAGCTGTCTGAATAGTTAAAAATCTACTCAATCAAATATAGTGAAGAAGAAATCCATACATAATCACGTTTCTGTAATGTGAAGAGCACAACAGATCCTACTTGATTGTATCCCAGTAATCTTACCTACCCTATACTGGTAAATTAGAAAACACAATGACTTTACTGAAGATAATTCTAGCCAAGGAAAGAAAACATGTTGAGTTCACTTAGAGACAGTCAAGCCTCTTCTAAAGCATAATTTTTAAGCAAAGCTGAAAATTTTGTGTAAAACAAAAAAATAGAAATCTTACCTCCTTCAGACCTGTATTCTGTCTGTTAACTGAAGGCATATGCAGCTTTCTTTGACTTGGTCTGCTTTTTTCTCCTTTGATCTGTCCTCTTATGACTATCACGAGTTTAAATTCCTTTCAGTACAGCTTCTGAACGCATTAATTAGCATGAAAGGGGTAAGGAGGCAACTTCTCATTTTCTTCTGCATCCTTCCCTCTTAAAAAGCAGCAGAAAAATCTGTTATTTCTTGATTAATTACATGTGCTCTGAGAGACAGGCCAACACCTTTTTACCTGCCCAATAAATACAAGCTCCTACAGTGGGCAGACTGTTTCTAGATTCAAACATGTTTTGATCTAAGTCTGCTTATTTTGTTACAGAGGACTGCTATTTTTGCATGTATGTGCTATAGCTTTGTTTAGGTACTCTTTTTGCACCATTTCAACACTGTGCAAAATAGTATATATGGACCAAAACTGTGACAGAAGTGTCTTAGATTAAGGTAAGTACAGTTTCATTCTATACTGAGAAGCAAATACTGCAACAAAAAGAGGGTACATCCCATGGGCTGCAGAACAAATGAAGCCTTTGCCTGTGTTAACACTGTAGTCATTCCATTTACAAGGTCAGGCAAGAAATGGCAGTCTGTGATTGATTCAGAGGTCTGGGCACTGTGATATACCAGCAGTTAGTTACTGCTAAAAGAGCAAGGAGATAAAAGAACCATGTTCTGCTTGTCATTTGTCCTAATGAATCATTAATCTGAGTCTCTCTGTCCCTCTACAAATTTTTTTAAGTTTGAAGGATTAAGCACTTTTAAGTTTTCACTTGTCTTTGAAGCTGTGCACGGGGCTCTAAATATGGTAAAAATGGCTGACAGAGTCAAAAGAAAATAGGAAAGAACAGATAGTGGAAGTGACCAACATCCATTTCATTAGAATTCATATGAAAAGTATTAACATTGATATTTTTTTAGCTAGTGTGGGCCTGCTTCTGTATTTTTCCTAATTATGGTAAAAATCTGACCTGTCTATATATTTTTCCACGGTAGTGCCTAGTGACCGAACCAGAGGCAGTGACCACAGACTGAAACACAGGCTGTGCTGTCTGAACATCAGGAAACCCTTTTGTCTGTGAGGGTGACTGGGCACTGGCACAGGCTGCCAGAGAGTTTGTTGAGTCTCCTCCACTGGAGATCTGCAAAAGCCATTTGGACACAGTCATGGGCACCCAGCTCCAAATGGCTCTGCTGCAGCAGGGGGTTAGACCATAGGGCCTCAGAGTGCCTTCCAAACTCAGTCATTCTGTGATTAGTGCCAGAAGGGTCTAGTTGGTTTTGCTAGACCTGTTAAAAGTTTGAAGCAACACAGTTTTTGCAGAGGGGAAAATAAAGGGTGCAGGAAGAAGGAACAGTGAGGAGCATAAACTTGCTAATTTGGGCAAGTTAACCCAGATGAACTCAATAGGAATTTCAAAGGTGAAAGAGATGCAGGGAAGTTTCTGTAAATATCCATGTGTGTAAAACTGTAAGTGGATGCTATCACAGTCTGTCAAGTTCCCAAGAAACATGCCAGCCCTTGTGCATTCTGAAATGTTGTAAAGTTCCTTATCAAATCATGCGTTTTCCTGAAGAAAACCTTCACTTCTGGAAGAGGATGGTAACTGACGCTTGCTTGATCAAGCTGCTTGATCTTGTGAGAATCAAAACACTAATAAAGAAAATGCACATGATTTCTTCATGTAGAAAAAGGGTCTCTGACCCTTACTTGCCTCAAGTGATGTGTGGGGTAAAATGTCAACTTGAATATTATGTGTTTTGAATGAATCTCTTGTTAATAGTATAGCAGGAAAGATAAAAAACTGAAACAGCTTTGTCATGGATCTGTGGTGCCATCTGGAATGTAAATGCATAATGCTGCTATTGAGGATTTGTATGGATGAGGAGATGAAACACCACATCCTGCTTTTGATCTCAATCTTTTTACAAAATGTTATTTCTGTGATGTAGTGCTGCTAACTCCATCAATGCAAAGTCACTGGGATTGACGCATGGATTCCAAAGGTGTTACATTTTCAAAGATAACTATTCAGGAGAAGAGGATGGAAGAGGAGCACTTTGGAGAACCCCCGAAGTAACCCAGCTTTTTTCTGATAGCCAGACTTGTGGCAAATCCAGGACACTCTGATGAATCTTGGTGAAAGGTAGGAAATGAGTACTTCTGGTGTAACTGAAAATAACAGGCCTGACCTTTGAAAAAGAATAGCTGTTGGTTGGTTTTGTGCTGTTGACATTATGATCCCATCTTTCTAGGACAAGATCCTGGGATTTTTATTAATTTACTTCCTTTAATTGATAATTCTTTATCTCTGGCATTTGAGGCTTCCTACAGCACACAGAGCAAAGAAAAACAAGTATGACACCTGATTTAGTTTTGAGTTTTATGGGAAATTCAGTGGAAACTCACAGATATTTCACTGCTAAATCTACATTACCAGTAACACAGTACAGTAAGAGAAAATAAGGAATTATATCCCTTTCAGTTAATCCTGGGGATCCTTGTCTCTCCATGGTTTGGGGACTTATTTGAAGGAGGCTTCCATGCTGAAAAATTCCACTTTAGGCTGGATTTGAAGCTTTTTGAAAAGAAGCTATTCCTTAACTTGCTTCTACCTTGACTGCAGGCCCCTCCAGGGAGCAACATGTTCTGTAGACTGCCTTGCACAAGCACCACAAATATGTTCGTCCTGAAAGCCTGGTTCATGACAGGAACTTCTTCAAGTAATTTTCAAATGAAGCAGTGGTCCTTACTGTCAGACCCTTCTCCCTCTGCTCCACCTCTGAATCTACAGTAAAGAAGGAATGATAGTCTTAATCCTGTAGAAGCTGTGTCAAGAGGATGCCATGATTAAAGTGGTGCCTTTGTTACTCTACCACGTTTTCCTAAAGAAAAATGTTTGATCAGCTTTCTGGCAGTTTTCCTTTGCTCCTACTTTATCTGCGGTAAACTGGAGATTCTGAGCCCAGGGGATTGTTCAGATTTGTGGGGCTTTCTCCATGAGATGCAGAATGGTCAGCCATGGGTGAAAAACTTTTGGTTGCAGTTGAGTGCTATCAAGGTGAGGTTGAATTTCTTCCCTTGCATGTAATTTCAGGAGGCCGTACCTGGATTCAAGAAAATGATAGTGCTTTCTAAAGCCTCACAATCCTGTTTCCACTGAAACTAACTTTGCTAACAGTTTTGGGGTGAGAAACTCCTTACAGATGGGCTGCTGATTTAGGCCTCTGAGGCCATGGCTTGAAGAAAATTAGTATAGTCAACACTGACTACATTCTTAGAACTTGGATCAAAAGAGTTCTTTGCAATAGGTTGCTCAGGGAGGTGGTAGAGTCACCATCCCTGAAGATGTCTCAGAGGCATGTGCACTGGGTTATGTGGTTTGGATTTGGAGGAGACAGTGGCAGTGCTGGGTGGATGGTTGGACTTCATGATCTTAAAGGTCTCCTCCAACTTTGATTATTCTGTGATTCTAAGTAATCCCTGTTATAATAGTCCAGTGAAATTTAACTTGGAATGTTTTACTTCAGCTGCAGCTGAAGTAAAAGCAGTTCCAAAATGAATACAAACACTCAGTACTTCAGCTCTGGACATGAGGGGAACAGACTTCCAGCTGCTCAGGGAATTAGTGAGTAAGATACCCTGGGAAGATACCTGCTTTTGCTGGGTGCGGGGGTCTGTCAGTGCTGGTCATATTTTAAACAACATCTTCTAAAGGTATAGTCGGAAGTCAAACAGGGGAGGCAGAAGATGGCTTGGCTGAGCAGGAATCTTCTTTGGGAGGTAGAGGCAAAAAAAGGAAGATGTAGGATCAGCAGAGGCAAGGTCAGGTGACGTGGGAGGATTACAGAAATGCTGCTCACCACTGCAGGGAGAAAATTTGTCATGCTGAAGCTCAACTGGAGTTGAAGCTGGCCCCATCTGAGGGGAACAGTAAAAAGCTTTTTCACATATATTAATGGCAAAAGGCAGTGCAGAAATAATATCAGCCTGTTACAGGATGAGGATGGTCACCTCAAAAACAGGGACATGGACAAGGCAGAGATGTTAAACACTTTCTTTGCCTCTACTTTCAACACCAATAAGGGACAAAGGGGATCCCACTGCCTGGAGCTAGAGGACCATGGCTATGAGAATGATCAGCTCCCATGATCCTGAAATTGTACAAAATGTCCATCATTCAGCTGAATAAACACATCACGTGATGGGTGATCAACTGGCTGATGGGCTGCACAAAGGGTTCCAGTGAATGAGGTGGCATCAGGCTGGTGACCTGTCACTAGTGGGGTTCCACAGGGCTCCACCTTAGGGCTTAGGTGCTCTTCAGCGTCTTAATGATTTGGATGCAGGACTCAAACCCTAAGTTTGCTGAAGACATTAAACTGGGAGGAGCTGTTGAATTCTTTGGAGGCAGAAAGGCCCTGCAGGGCTACAAATTGCAGGTGACAAACAAATGAAGTTTAACAAGGAAAGGTGTCAGATTCTGGCCCTGAGATAAGACAACCCTGGATGTGTGTATAGACTAGGGAATGAGGCTGAAGAGCAGCACTGCAGGAAGGGACGTCAGGGTCCTGGTCTGTGGAACGTTGAACATGGTCAGCAGTGCCCTGGCAGCCAGGAGGGCCAGCCGTGTCCTGGGGGGCATCAGCAACAGCACCACAGCTGGGCAAGGGAGGGGATTGTCCTGCTCTGCTCTGCACTGGAGCAGCCTCACCTTGACTGCTGGGGGCAGTTCTGGGTGCCACAATAAAAGAGGGTAATGAGGATGCCTCCTGCCCAAAGGAGGGTGATGAGGAGGATGAGGGGTCTGGAGGGGAAGCCATGTGAGCAGTGGCTGAGGTCACTTGGTCTGTTCAGCCTGCCTGACAGGAGATCTCATTGTGGTCTTCAGCATCCTCATGAGGGGAAGAGGAGGGGCAGGCACTGATCTCTTCTCTGTGGTAACCAGTGACAAGACCCAAGGGAATGGCCTGAAGTTGTGTCAGGGAAGGTTTAAGCTGGA